GGGGGGGTGGGGGGTGTTAATCAGAAAATGTTGGAATTAGAGAAAACCAGGATCCCTGGTAATTAGCTCTGCAGTAAAGTCTTAATGTCTACATGTGCTGCCTTTTTATGCCGTAGGAAACTAACTCTTCTGCAAGTTAGCACTTGTAAATACAGGCAACCCCCACTTAACACTGTTTTGTTTAGCGCTATTTCGCTATAGCACTCGTTTTAAATTGATACCTGATTTCACTTAGTTCTCAGCAAGTTTCGTTATAAAGCGCGTGGTCACCATCTTGGGTCATTAAAACAATTGTGGTAGCCATCTTGGGTTGTCAAATACTTTCGGTTTCGCTTAACACTAGTTTTGCTTAACACTGGTTTTCAGGAACCGGTGCTGAGCAGGGGTTCCCTATACAAGTACTATCCTGCAACAGCGTTCTTTAGCATGCAGCAACACACATATAGACACTGACAGGGCTGGCTAGGGCATAAGGATGCTTCAGTGCAGGGCTGCCTATTGGTTAGCCCCACAGTGGAGCATATTTGTGCCCCAGCCAGCCCCTCCACAACATGCTGAGCCAGGTTGAAGCAGTCCTGGGCTGGTAGGCTGGCACCTGGGGCCCCCTGCCAGCTAAGCGTGCTCCAACCTGGCTCAATGTGCTGCAGTCCCAGGCCCACATGAAGACACGGCACTCAGGAGCAATAAACTTCAGTGTGATATACACCAGATTATATTCATTGACATCAATTTCACATGTAGATGTGACCACTGTTAACTGAATGAAAAGAAAGAGGATCGGACTTTAACTTTACACTTACCACTCATATTGCATGGCTAGTTTTCTGCAGGTCTTCTGTATATATTTTTCCACAAATTTCAGCCTCTAAGAGATCTTACATGAAGCCTCACCCCATTCTTGCTATTTTATAATAATGGGACAATAGAACCAAAAGAGAATAAAGGATTGCTCTTTACCTCTATACTTACCACTCTCACTGCCTGACTGGCCATCTGCAAAGCCCTGAGTTTGCTGCAGATCTTTCAAATCTGATTCTAGAGTTGCAAGAAGAAGCCTTCTCTGTTCTAAGGGCTCATTTTCCTCCTTCTCTATAATAGTTCAAATATTTCATGGTTATCAACGGAAAAATTGTTTTCAAAAGTGTCTTTAAAAATGCTGTCACATATGACTGGTCTTAAACGCTAATAAAATAGTTCCAATATGTCTGCCCAACAACTACCCCAAGTAACTGACTTTTTACCTGGGTTTAAATAAAACTGTACAAAAAATGTGGCAAAACCTATAAAAAATAATTAAATCATGGCCTTTCTGGAACTTGAAAAATGAAAATATTGGTTTATGCTCCTGTTAAAAATCCCCAAATAAAAACTTGTATTAAAACATATCTTGTGTTTTTGTCTTTTCTCGCTCTTCCATGCCTGTTCTTTCCAAGATCTTCTCATAGGATTTAAGACTTTGGAGGAATGGATCTTATTTTTTTCGTTAGTAAAGCACCTAGAACAACAGAACCTGGTCCTGATGTCACTGTCCAGATATGACCATAACTTATATATTTAATAATAATCAGCAGCAGCAATCCCTCAATACAAGGACAACAGTCTTCCAGTAGATAGGAAATTCATTACAAGGCCGATCTGAGAGTTGTATTTTCAACTTTAGATATGGCATACACTTCTAGAAGGAAAAAGTGGATCCTGGTGATGTTGGGTCCCTTTGTCTCCATCATCTATGCATCTCACCACCCCCAAGAAGGTAGCAGCAACCCACCATCACCCTATGAATACATCCCATGGCAAAAAAAAAACGGGTGGCACGTGTGGCAGCAGCACTCACAGCCCAAAACCAGAGACTTGCCAGCTAAAGCCATGCTCTGGCTGCCAACCAGGTTCCCAAATACAGGAATACCGTGGCTGCAGCTCCCTAAGGCCCCCAAGGCCTTCAGGTAAGGCTGTGGGGCTAGTACAGTTGCTAGCCCCAGCCTCTCCTACCCAATCTGGGGTAACCTGCCAGGCACCAGAGAGCGCTTAGCATGGGTGTTCCCCAGGGACAAGTAGCAGTGGCACAAGGTGTCCAGCTGGTCTATTGGGGGCACAGATCAAGGCCCCCATGGTGAGGGAGGAGGGGGCTTGGGGCAGGCACTGCTCAGCCAGGGCAGGGCACAGGACAGAGCCACAAGTAGGCTCATCCAAGGGGCAGGGGGGCAGCTCCCCCCACTGCATGCACCCCTGGGAGAGGCATAGGGAGTATGTGCCCCCCCAGATCTGTTCATGGGGTCATGGCAGGCTGCTGCTGCCTGCTCAGGGACATGGGCAATGCCGGGCTCTTCCTGGCGTGGGGCCTGGGCCAGGGCTGTGGCGCACAGAAGGTGTGCCACTGCTACTTGTCCCTGAGGAAACAAACGGCTGCACTTGTCTGGATGCGGCCAATGTAGGTGTGACTAAGGGCCTCTAGTGATCACTAGCACCTGCCCTCACCACCACTCACTCATCATAATAAGACTTGTTGTTGATGAAAGATGCCTGTGTGCGTCTTCTGTTTAATGTGAGGATGCACATTAGCAACCACACAATATTTTGCAGGAAAGAAATTCTAATCCAATTTCAAAGAAAACCTAGATGACTGGAGGTTTCTGTTCCACTGAAGCCTTCGTCTGTTTTTGCAGCCATTGTGAAGTATTTCTTCTTCAACTGCTTGCTCCACCACTGAGGACATTCATTTTTGTTTTTGGATCGCTGTTAGTCTGGAAACCTCGCTCTCAACTTTGCTACTATGGGTGACCCTACCAGGAGTACAAAAATGACATTGCCCTAGAGATCATTGGTAGTACACAAGCCTCTCTACCATGTCAAAGTTGTGATAATAATAGATGCTTCAAATTATCCTAGGGGTTACAATGGCAAGAAAAAGAATTTGAATCTTGATTCAGAACTAGGGATGAGACTCTCCACCCACTTAAACCTTTGGCTAAAATCTCAGGATTTTCCAAGACTGTTTTGAGAGAAACCATACAGACTCAGAGAGACATGCAGCATGTTAATATTGTCAGGATAGAGTGTGATGAGTCACAGACATGCTACTGTAGAAGGTCGAGGAAGAAAGCCACTGAAAATGGGTGAGGAACATGGAAGATTTGATGTATTGTGATTAATAACATAGGTATGCATGCAAGGGCTATATTTGATCAGTTTTTGAAATTCAGAAAATGAGTGATGAAAGGGGGATTAAGAGAGACCAGAGAGATGGCTTCTTTGGTAATGTGACCACATCTGCTGGGCCCAATCATCATGGGACAGCTAGACTTTCTAAGCAAACGCTTGCAACTGTACTGGCCAGAAATGGTCATTAAGAGCAATAAACATTGTTATCTAATATACACTTGGTATTTTATTTTATTTTAAAAGGCTTGTTTAAAGCAATTGTTCTCAGCCTCATTAGACTCACAGAACCCTTGTTATAGGCAAGGCAGCCTTTGGTGAATCCTAGCTCTTTTCACTCATTTCATAGAATGGGTGAAATGGAAAAGTAATAGAGTAAAATTCTTTTGTTGCAAAGAATTTGTAACATGACATCAAGTCAAAATGGTTTTGACATTATGTATCCCTATTTGAAATCTCTTTGTTATCATGAGTTTGTGTTTAACACCTAAGACTGTTAATATTACATGACATCCCACAGCTCCTTTTAAAGGCCCTCATGGTCCCTAGGTTGCTCTGGCACCCTGTTTGTGAGTAACTAATTTAAAATAACTGTTTGATTGGGCTTTGAATTTAATAAAGGAATTTAGCTAATGACTGACATGATCAACTGGATTTCAACATTCATGAATAACATTTTCATAAATACTTAAGTGACTTGGGAGCCTAAGCTCTAAGGATCTCTATTGTTAGGGAGTCAGCGTAATAATATAAAGCATGTGAATCCAAATGGCATCCTTTGGGCTGCATGCTGCCCACAAGTGGTTAAATCAGGGCCTACAGATGAGCTTCTACAAAATATAAAATAAATAATAAAATAGACAAAATAGAAAAAGGAAAAAGATTTCTTTTCATATTTTATTACCATAACATTGATATTATTAATCTGCTTTTGAGTGATGGAAATTGTTACTGCTCTCCAATGAAATAAATCAGGTCTGTTCAACTGGCAGCCTACAGGCCATATGCAGCCAACAAGGGGTTAACCTGAAGCTCCCAGGCTCCCAGTTTGGGCTTTGCTCCCTGCATCATTGTTCTACTGCTGTTACCAGAGTCTCCATGCACCTTCTCAAGTTTCTCCATCCTGTTCCTGCCCCAGGGGTGGAGTGGGGTGGTAGAGTGAAGAGCACACTGCATGAGGCTTGTGGGGGGGAGGGGGAGCAGGGGGAGGCAGTGGCACATGTCATGGTACAGTGTACAGCCTGCTCAGCATGTGGCCCCAGTCACTTAGAAGTTGGACAGCCCTGATAAAAATGAATGTGTGGGGTGAAGTGTTAAGAGGAAGCACTGCTAGGAAATGAGGTAGTGTGGCCAGGTTTGCACATGCTTTGTATTCTATGATACTTATTCACTTCACTATATAGAGCATGGTAGCAAGGCACTCACAAAATTGTTTCTTGCTTTTTTGTTTTTACTGTGAGGGTTAGTGATTATGGTATAAAGAGTGTGTTAGAAAAGAAGAAAACAGGATAAAAACAGAAGTTTTCAAGAAGACTAGGAAGTAGATTGTATGATTATTGAATGAAAAGGAAAACCTCAGTGCTTCGTTTGCTTACAAGTGTTTTCTGTTCAAAATGAATTTAACCTCTGGTGACACCATCAAACTTTAATAGAAAGTACAGCAGGAACACCATCAAACTTTAATAGAAAGTACAGAAGGAATTTGAGATTACCTGCGCTTCCTTTCCTTTTTCACATCCTTGTGACAAGATATTTAGCACAATTTTCAAATTTATTGGAATCTGACAGATCCATGCCATGAGTACTTCTGCTATGGCTTCAAACTTGGACCTCTGGCTGTCAACCATGTCCCTGAGCACCCACACCACCCCAGTCCTGTTAACTATGCTAACAGAATTAGTCAAGTGGGACCAGCAGGCATTGGGAGAGTCCCTGTTCCCCCGAGCACTCCCGGGAGTTACAAGAAACAACAGACATAAGCTAGCAGAGGGTAGTTTCAGGCTAGACATTAGAAGGCGCTATTTCACTGTCAGGGCGGCTAGGACCTGGAACCAACTTCCAAAAGAAGTGGTGCTGGCTCCTACCCTGGCGGTCTTTAAAAGAAGGCTGGACAAACATCTGGCCGGGGTCGTTTGACCGTAGTACTCTTTCCTGCCACAGCAGGGGTCAGACTTGATGATCTCCTCAGGTCCCTTCCAACCCTCCCAACTATGAAACTATGAAACCTCAAAACAATTTAAACAACAAACTGGATTCCTTACTACAGTTAAAAAGGAATGGTTATCAAGTGCTGCTGCTTCTGATGCAGTCTCTCTGTAGTTAGCCAAAGCAAAGAGACCTTAAAGTTAATGGGTGTCAGTTAAAAAATGAAGAACTGAAATGGCCAGGGAAATTGCTGAGAAGAAAGTGAAAAATTCTGAAGCAGTTTCACTCTCTCATTAGACTGTAGCCAGAAGAATGGAAGACAAGAATAATTAGGTACACGAAAAGTTACTGCATAATGTCAAAAATTGTCACTGCTTTTCACTCCTGTTGGACAAGAGCATTGACCAAACCAATATTAGTTAGCTTCCCATCATTATTAGAATTTTGGAAAAAGCTCTCTCAATCAAAAAGGAGTTGCTGTCTCTGGTCTCTTTACACAACATTATAAAGAGGACAGATATATTTAAAGTTCCTCAGAAAAATGTGAGTAAATCCAAAAGTTTTGACAAATGTACCCATATTGCCATGGACGATGCTAGGGCTGTGGTCACTTCTGAAGTTGGAATATCAGGGGCGGGGGTTTAAGTTTTCTGTTACATGCTCCATGATTTACTACATATAATACACCAGGAATCTTTGTGTGGGAAATGCGTGAAACAAGCTGAAGCTATGGAACTGGTTATGAAGATTACTAATCTCAATCATGGAGGAAATAAATCATTGTAACACATGAAGATCTGGTGTGTAGATCTAGTGTAAAATCATTTTTTCAAAAATTTTTAAAAGGAATGCAATCTGTGTACAGAGATTTGCCCCTTCTTTCAGAAATTCACTGGCTAAGTAGTGGTAAGTGTCTCATAAAGTTCTTTACTCTCCGAAAAGATATTCCAGTGTTCCTAACAAAAAAAAACAGTGTAAGCAGACACTGCAAAGCGTAGAGAGACACTTTTGTCTCCTGAGTTTCTGTTCACCTTTGCCAGATATTTACCATTCATTTAAATTAACACAATTTAAAGTGACAAGGTAAGAACCAGACAATATCAGACCTCACAATCAAAGAGAAGCAGAGCTGGAAGAGACCTTCACAGGTTATCTAGTCCAAGCCCTGCCCAAGTCAGGATCATCCCTATTCAAACCATCCTATACAAATCCATCATCTAACCTCTTAGTAAAACTAGACAGTCAGCCCTGACACAACACAAGACATAACACCTTAACCTACCACAGGTAAATCAGGGGGACCGTGGCAGCCAACACCCAGCTGCTGTAAAGGCTGTTAATGTATGTTCAAGAGAGCCCTTACAGAAGATAGCAAAAACTCCCAAAGAAAGTCCATACCAATCTGACTGACTATGGGGTAAAATTCCTCTCTCTACCCTGCCCCTCAAACATGACTGGATCAGAGCCAGGCCATACTCTGCCCCCCCTGCCTACCAGAGGTCTGGCCACACCCACCCCACACAGCAGATCTGACCCCTGGATGGACTGGGAACCACTCATTCAGCCTGCAGGGTGAAAATGCTGAATGCCACTTGTGTAGCGTGCGGGCCGGGAGTGACCCGAGCCCTTTTCCGTGCTGCACGCGGGCTGTGGCCAGCAGCCCGGGCACGCCAGGTCGGAGAGGGAGGCCGTCGAGCTGGAATTAGGCACAAACGCTTAGTGGTAGTTTAAAAGATTGTTTACTTACACCGAGATGGCAGTGGTGCAGGCTGGAAAACTTGCTTGAGTTGCGGTTACAGACATACAACAAAACAAAACTCGAACCTGCAGGGCATGAGGGTACGTCACAAGGGTTTTTCGGCGATGGGAAGATGCAAAACACAAGGATACGTCGCAATGGGTTTTCGGCGACGGGAAGATAAACCTGCAGGACTCGAACCTGGGTAGAAGAGCTCTGAGGTCGGTCGTCTGGCAAGGACTCTCACAAAGTTTGCTAGGCTCCGTGGGTCCGGTTCTTTTGCGCGCAGGAAGGGATACGTCTAGGCTGCGATCGGCGACGGGGAGAGGCTAGAGGTTGATCAGACCCCTGTTGTCTGCTTGAAATGCGCTGGGTCCGTAAGGATCCGCAGCGCTTAGAGATCTTCACGCAGCGTGAAGTCTCCTCCTCCCGGTGTTCGTGGAGTCCTCCAACTTGGGCGGAAACCACTCAAGCCTTTTATACGGCTAGCAAGCCAATCACTAGCCGC